GTGTACCCCCAAAAAATGTATACCTACTTTAACTGCTATAGCTCAATTTTGAAAATGAAATGTATTTTAATAAACACTGTCTTTATAATTATTCAGAGTGTGTATATACATTTTAGGGGGCACCCTATATATTGAAGCAGAGCATAGGACAGGGGGCACCAGGAGGTGGAGATGGGCGATGCTGGTCCAAGGGAACAAGGTTGCAGCTATGTGGACTGAGAAAGCACAGAGACCCAATGCACAGCCTGAGGACCACAGTAATAATATTGTATTCAATACTGGAAATTTGCAAAGGAATAGTCTTCAGGTGCTTCCTAATACACACAATAAAGGTAAATGTGTGAGAAAATATGTAAATTAGCTTGACTATAGTAATCATTTCCCTTTTATATCAAACTAGAGGCCCAGTGCACAAAATGCATGTATAACGTGCAGTCCCTAGGCCTGGCCAGTGATCAAAGTGCAAGTGTCTGGTGTGGAAGGGCAGGTCCTAGCTGACCTCTGGGCCCTGGGCAGCATCTGGGCCCCCAACCCTCAGCACCTAGGAGCTGGGCAGCAGCCCCCCCCCAACCACTGCCATTGGTCACTGTCTGTGGGGTGATCGGTGGGGCAATTGGGCCCCACTCACACCTGCCTTGGCCTGACACTGCCTGCTCACCTGCTCCACTATCCCGCCACATTCTTGCTCTCGTTGGGGCCTGTCGGGGACAGCAGCACCTCCACTGCCGCCTGCTGCCAGCGCCGCATCACTGACACCCACCATGTTCCGCACTGCCCCCTGGTGGTCAGTGCACATCATAGCCAGCGGTCGAACTCCCGGTCAAGGGGACAATTTGCATATTAGGCTTTTATTATATAGTATATGTATATCAAATCACCATCTTTTATACCTTAAATATATACAAATTTTATTTTTTTAAAAATCCAAAACAAAATCCCTGTCACTGACACCCTGTATGAGCTTAGAAAGGGCTCATGATCTCACTAGGCCTCAGTTCGCCATTTACAGAGAGAATCCAGTGGACTGGCCCCTTTCACTGCAGCCCTCTCTGACTGGGCACAGCAGTTTCTGAATAACCCCAAGCCGTGCTTTCCTGGGAGAAGCGATGCTCTAAGCACCAGCACTCAAAACCAGGCAAAGGGCTTCTTCTACCAGCTCTGTTCAAGCACCTTTCGTATTTAATGCATTACTAATTGGGGAAGATTTAGCATATTTAATTGTTTTGATTAAAAAATGCTTCAACAGTAGTAAACAAAAGTGGATGAAAGGAATTCACGGGCAGAAACCAGATTAATTACTTAGGTGAGTGGTGGAGTGCTGCCGAGTTAAAGTGACGGGACTGGCTGATTAGTGGGGGCTGGAGGACGCGTGTGGAGTGCTTATGCTCAGGAGGGTCTGCAGCAGCCTGCCATGTGCGGCTGGGAGAAGAGAATTCCAGCAGCTTGATTTGAAAAGCATGACTTGACTGCTAAGAATTACTTTCTGAGGACCCCAAAGCCGGGTACCACTGAGGAAGGGCAGGTATGTGAGTTCATCATACAATGTGAGAGCTGGTGCCCTCGGGCTCCCAGCCCACACTTCTCATTTTTAGTTGTGATGCCCTACATTCATGAGGGTTGATTATTTTGTGTAAGGTTGTACAGCTGAAAAATGCTGGGGCTGACATTCAAACTCAAGTCTGTCTTGTTCAGAAGCCTGTGGTATGTTCCCTAATTCCAGTGATTGCATCAGACTGAAGAATTCTGCTGTCAGCCAGAACAATTCAGTAAGCACCTACTATGTACCAACCCAAGCGCATTGTGTGTTGGGAAATGTAGACACGATGGAAACAAAACTAATAGGAATATGATGAGAATCTGAATAAATAAGGGCCTTGAGCAGCCAGCAGGTTAGGACAATCTATTAAATGAAGACTAATTTCTATCACTTGTGTCAGTGTAGTACCAGGGCTAGAAGAGGAATCTTCAGGAGCCCTGGGGAGGCCAACCCAGAGCTGTCTACAGCGTGCCCATGGTAAGCTGGGGTCGGGGCAGAGGAGCTCAAATGTGGTTCCAAAATCCAATACACAGAACCAGAGGTAGGGAAGCTGAGAGCAGGGGAGGCAGCGGGGAAAGGAGCAGAGAAAGGCCTAGAGGAACTGTACAGCACTTGCCCAGATGGGTGTGTGGCATGGGTGGATTATGTTTATAGAACCAGGCAGTGCTGTCATGGCTCTGCCCCTGTCTCATCAGCCCGGACACCTGAGATGTCAGCTTTGGCCTAGATCACACTGGCATTGGTTTTGGCTTTTGATGGCAGTGAACTCTGGAGTTGATGGTTCCCAAGCCTGGCTACACAATGAAATCATCTGAGTGCTAATTAAAAATACATATTCCTGGGCCCCACCTCTATCAATGGTGATTCTGTATTTCTGAGTCATCAGTGAACTGTATTTTAAAGATGATTTGGCAAATTTAAAGATGATTCCTATGCAGTGCATCTTGGACCAGATTTTGAGTCCCACGGTCCTACAGAGAACCTTTGATGGCCTGCTGGCCTCCGCCCTGCCTCAGCCAAAGCCTTTGTCAATGCCTTGGATATGGACTCAACAGCCAGGCTTAGTGTATCACATCCAGAAGAAAAAACTAGGAAAAGCCAAAGATAACTCAGATAAAGAATCAGGAAGCCAAAAACCCTCAGAAAAATGGATTGATAGGCAGACCAAACATAGCAAAATGAGATTCAGGTGGGAAAGCTGTTAACATCCTACCCTGGGGACAAAATACCAGTACAGAAGCTCAGTAAGGAATGGGCACAGCTTAGCAGGAGAACAAGAGAAAAGGCCATAGCTTTAGATGACTTCCAATTCAGTAGGGTAATGAAGCAAGGTGAAAATTATAATTAATGAAGTAAAGGAGAAGATAATCTCACTCTTTATGCAGGTTAGAGAAACTCAGAGCCTGGTGAACAGTTCTGGGAGCCACACTTTTAAAAGGAAATTAGAAAAAGGACACTTGTTGGACATTATTCAGCCTTAAAAAAAGAAGGAAATGCAGCCCTGTGTAACAACACATGGCTAAACTTTGAGGATATTACGTTAAGCGAAATAAGCCAGTCATAGGACAAATACTGCACGATTCTACTTAGAAGAGCTATATAAAATATTCAAACTCATGGAATCAGAGAGTAGAATGGTCATTGCCACAGGGGTTGCGGGGAGGTAGAATGAGGGGTTGCTAATCAATAGGCATAAAGTTTAAATTATGCAAGATTAGTAAACACTAGAAATCTGTGCAACGTTGTCCCTGTAATTAACAATAATGTAGTGGGAGTTTAAATGTTTGTTAATAAATAGAAATGGAGAATGATTGGAGAAGAATGAGCATAAGGATGATGAGAATGAAGAAATTCAAAGTCATTTCATTTTGGTAATGTTTGAGGGGATGGGAGGTGTTGACCTGAACAAGGGAAGGAAAGACCTCCCTTTAAGAGAGATCCATAGACCTA